TTTCCCTAGATCAGGTTGCTCAAAGCCCCATCCAACCTTGCCTTGAACACTTCCAGGGATGGAGCACCCACAACTTCTCTGGGCAACATGTTCCAGTGCCTCACCACCCTCAGAGAAAACAATTTCTTCCTTAGGTCTAATATAAGTCTACCGTCTTTCAGTTTAAAGCCATTGACCCTTGTCTTATCACTACACACCCTTGTAAAAAGTCCCTCTCCAGCTTTCTTCTAGGCCCCCTGTAGGTACTGGAAGGCTGCTAGAAGGTCTCCCTGGAATCTTCCCTTTTTGAGGATGAACAACCTCAACTCTCTCAGCCTGTGTTCGTGGGAGAGGTGCTCCAGGCCTCTGATCATCTTCATGGCCCTCCTCTGAACTCTCCAACAGCTCCATGTCCTTCTTCTATTGGGGGGGCCAAGAGCTGAACACAGTACTGCAGGTGGGATCTCACTGGAGCAGACTAGAGGGGCAGAATCACCTCCCTCAACCTGCTGACCACACTGCTTTGGATGCAGCCCAAGATATGGTTGGCTTTCTGGGCTGCAAGCATACATTGCTGGCTCATGTTGAGCTTCTCATCAACCAACACCCTCAAGTTCTCCTCAGGGCCGCTCTCAATCCCTTCTGTGCCCAGCCTGTATTTGTGATAGCGATTGTTTCAACCCAGGTGCAGGACCTTGCTCTTGGTCTTGTTGAACTTCATGAGGTTCACACAGGCCAACCTCTCAAGCCTGTCAAGGTCCCTCTGGATGGCATCCCTTCCCTCCAGCATGTCAACCACAACACACAGCTTGGTGTTGTCAGCAAACTTGCTGAGGGTGCACTCAATCCTACTGTCCATGTTGATGACAAAGGCGTTAAACAGCACCAGACACAATACTGACCCCTGAGGAATGCCACTCATCACTGGTCTCCACTTGGACATCAACCATAGACCACAACTCTTGAGTGTGACCATCCGGCCAATTCCTTATTGGCCAAGTGGTCTATCCGTCAAATCCATGTGTCTCCAATTTAGAGACAAGCATGCCATGCAGGACAGTGTCAATTGCTTTGGACAAGTGCAGGTAGATGACATCAGTTGCTCTTCCCTTATCCACCAAGGCTGTAACCCTATTGTAGAAGGCCACCAAATTTGTCAGGTATGATTTGCCCTTAGTGAAGCCATGTTGGCTGTCACAAATAATCTCCTTTTTTTACCATGTGCCTTAGCATATTTTCCAGGAGGATCTGCTCCATGATCTTGCCAGGCACAGAGGTGAGACTGACTGCCTGTAGTTCCTTGAGTCTTCCTTTTTTCCCTTTTTAAAAATGGGGGCCATGTTTCCCCTTTTCCATTTGGTGGGAACTTCACTGGACCGCCACAGCTTCTCAAATATGATGGATAGTGGCTTAACAACTTCGCCTGCTAGTTCCCTCAGGACCCGCAGATGCATCTCATCAGTTCCCGTGGACTTGCGCACTTTCAGATTCCTTGGGTGATCTGGAACCTCATCTTCTCCTACAGTGGGCAGTTCTTCATTTTTCCAGTCCCTGCCTTTGCCTCTGCAGCTTGGGTAGTGTGGCTAGAATATCGTATAGAGTACATGCAAGACATTATTTGCCATGCTGACCTGGGTGCAAGCATACCTTTGGAGAAAACCTCTTGTGGGAACATTTTGTGTCACAGATGAAGGCCATATTCACAGACCATAATTCAGTAGGCTTTTGGATCTGATTCATAGATGTTTCATGCTATCAGTGTCAAAAGATCTTCAGTGTACAAACTGGGGATATCCAGGATCATAGAATCATAGAATCGTCTGGTTGGAAGAGACCTTCGAGATTATCGAGTCCAAGGAGGTGAAGGTAGCTTCCCAGCAGCCTTAGAAAGCTGTGGTGCTTGTGGTCTGGGATGAGATGGCTGAGTGGGTAGCCAGAGGTGGAAATGCAACACCTCTCCTTCTCTCCCCAGGGACTGAACAAGTGCAGCTACTGCAAAGCTCAGCTCTTCCTAGCAAGCTGGTGGCCTGTCTTGAAAGAAAAGTGGCACAGGTGTCGTGATGCTCTGTGGACGAACATGTGCCTCATGATGGAAATGGAGTGACACTGTTGAGGTGGGGGGCATACCTGGAGGCTGCAGAGTGAGATCATGCTGTACATCATCTGGGTCACACAGAAGCAGTGCCGGAAATTATGAAAGGGGTTGTTTCTGTAATTGTCATGAATACACAGCTGCAGAGAGAGAGAATGAAGCAGTCAGAGACAGGAGACCTCTTTCTTTATAAAAACATGATTATATACACTCTGCAGCCTCCCTGGAAGCACTGTATGTCCCTACAGGAGCCTGCGGAGCCCAGTATTATTTTCTGCTAGGACAGAGAGACAGCACAAGGCCCTCTGACACTCTCTGCCTTCCTGGAGGAGGGTGAGAGATTACTGCCTTTCAAGAATTTGTCAGCAGGTAAAGCTCATAGCAGTTTCTCTCATACCAGCTAGCAATGGGTAAACATCCCAGCACAGTTGCAAGTGCATCTCAGTCTTCAGATAGGACTCTGTGCCCTCATCATGAATTTGTATTTTAAACTGTGTGGTGGTTAAATGGTGACTTTGGGGTATGAAAAGAACTCGGAGAGCATCCCCGTTCCCCTCTTTTGCTGAATGCAAACTGCAGCTTTGAAATCTTCAAGGCTGAAATGTAGTTGTTATTTCATTTGCAAATACTCAGAGGCTGCACTTCGGGATGCGTTGCTTGGCAAAGCGAAGACACAAACGCACACGCACTAGAATACCTGTGCGGATTTCCTACGCTAGGCAGCATGGGAGAGATTTAGCCATATGGACACATGGGACTGATTTTTGTGTGTTTTACCTTTCTACAGATCCTGGCTATGTGCCCTTGTTACAAATGGAAGCTAAAGCATGTCTTTCCATGTGTCCTTGCTATTGTCAGCCGGGCCAAATTTACTGCTGACCAAATTTGGTGTCAGCAAGCTGAGTGAAGCTGGCGCAGCTGGGTTAACACATGCCACAGTCATTCTTCCAATGTACTGGATAGCCTTTGGTATCCTGTCCTGCACAAAACAGCCAAGCATCAGCAGCACTGCTGGACCCCTTCTGCTGAATCCTCTGTAGCCTGGACCCTAGAGAGCCCTTATGCACGTGCTTCAATTACTGAGCCTGAATTAATGACATGGACGGAATTAGTGTCCCTTTCTCCAGCTAAATGGTCAATTTACTTCAAGAGTCCTCAAGCCCCACCAGGATCAAACCTTCAACCTGAGACCTGACTTCTAGGAAGCCTTAAAGCTCTGGATGAAATCAGAATAACTGTGGGTTTTCAATGCTTATTCAGTATTTGGGGGCTTTATTGCAAAAGCTGTTCAGAGTATTCTGCAGCAAGGACTTGAGAAATATACTGTGTTATTTTAAAATGAATGACTAATGGCACAATATGGTTGCGTTGCCAGCCAGGCTCACAGGTAGTGGACAGTATCTCATGACCTCCACATGGACACCACGATCACGCACAGACATCGTACAACACTGCGCAGATGTGATGTATACATCCAGCAGCGGAGCTCAGAGCATCTCAGGGGACTCCTAACTCAAAGCACTGAAGGACTGGAGTGATTGGGTTGTATTAGTCATCCTTTCCTTCCCTTTCTGGAACATTTCTGTAGCTGGTGGACGTGGGAGCAAGAAAGCAAGCATATGCATGAGGTGGCTTTTTCTCACCCATCAAGTTCAAACAGGTGCCCGTACTGTGCCTGGGGAGGTATCATAGTTTGAAGCAGAGTCCTTGGGGCTTTTTTAAACCATCTTTCTTTCTGCGAAGCTAGTGCTTAAGAAAGGAAATCTCACCCTGTCTTACCTTTGGAGAAAATACATAGTGAAGTCCTCTCGTTGTTCAGAATGGGGCTTTCTTAAATGCTAGTGACCGTCACTGCCCTGCATACCCTGGTGCCCCGGTGCTTTTTGCTCTTTCTGTACTTCATGATATGATGAATCCAGTGTTTTGCTTTGTGTTTCCTAGCCACCTTCTGATTTTGTGGAATTTGTTCAGGCCTTTCTGGGAGTCTACATCAATCATGTAAAACAATTCCCTCTATTCTGTCCCTACTATCCAGGTAATTAGAAAAGATTAGTGAGATATAATTCTTTTCTACAGGAATTCTATGAAACATCTGTACAATGAACTTCACATCGTGATGTATTTAATTATTGTTTCAATCAATTTGTCAGGTAGAGATGTAAGCTTTACTAACTATAATTCTTCAGGCTATCCCTAGATCCTTTTTAAACAGCGAGTAAAATATTTACAGTTCTACAGTTCTCCAGGAATATTCTGGGTTTTTTTTTCTGAGAAAGTCAATACATTATTCAGATTTTTAGCAAATTCTTTCTTATGCTCTCCCTTGGACCTGATAACTTATTGATTTTTAAATACTCCAGCATTTCTTTTTTAGACATCTTAGTTGTGGTATGATCTTATTTTTATCATGTCTTGCATCTCTGCAACATGCTCAACATTAAAAAACAAGGAAAAAAAAAGTTATTTAACTTCTCAGCAATTCCTTTTTCTCCCTGCCTTGCTCTTTTACTCGTTGTGATTTACCACATCTAATGATTATTGCACACACTAGCTTTTTTTTGGCCATATCTGAAGTCATTCGTCTTGTTTCCATTTATGTTAGGTACAAAGAGCATTAACCAGAAATGAACGGATTTCAGTAATAGAAAGCTCATCAAACAAAGGTAAAACAGTTAAAAAAAAAGTCATCTGTTACCACATTTGCTGAAGTACTTAAATTTTAAGAATTTTTATAGATTGACTGCTTTGAGTGGGATTACTCATGTGAGTCAAGTTAATTCCATGACTAAATGTTTTGTTTATTGATTTTTATATTTGAAATTGCAAATATCAGTAATTTGAAATACTTACCAACCACCTCTTTAACGTGATAGGATTGATGTTGAAGTCTTTTACCAACCCAAGATCATGGTACATATGTTCCAAACAACTCAGCATCTGCAGCCAGGAACAGATAGGTTATTGGCTTGGTAAATATCACTTTACTTTACGATACATTGCAGAGTGAATTTACTCCTTGCAAGCATCAAATAATTGCAGAGCCCTCTTGTTAAGATGAAAGAAAGATGTTCAAAGATTGCATGATTAAAGACAGTGCAAGAGGGGAGACAGAGGTTCTGAAAGCTTTTTGAAGTAGACAGATTGCTGTTGACTTCATAGGTTTTGTGCAGGGCTTTGAATCACACCAGCTCTCTTTAGTAATAGTGATTCATGTGTATCATAGCAATTCCTTCTCACAAAAAAAAATTGTAATTTTTCTAAATCAGTTGGGATATGTTCTAAAGCTCAATGAAATCAGTGGGAGTTTTTCCACTGATTCCAAAGGCCCTAGCTGTACAGAAACAGATCAAGCCCTAGCTATGTAGAAAATGACAGCAGAAAATAAGAGATTCCTAAAGAAACATTTATTCTAGATATATGTTAATATCTTCTTTCTTTATGACTTCTCATGAGTTCCTAAATCCACTATCTTAACTCAAATTTCTTTATTAATAAAAATCTCCTGTTCTAACACTACAAATTTACAGCAGGTTTGTGACCATCCACTCCTATAAACTGTAACTATGAATCCCAATAGGGGAAATGCAAAGGCGAGCTGTTCTTTTGAGACAACATCTGCTCTGTAGTAGGAAGGGGGGTGCAGGTAGTTTAGCACTACCATTCCCAGTTATTTTCTGGGTTTGAAAATATTGCAAAAGAAAGGTATCGATAATATGATGTGTCTGGGCACTTAACAGCTGCCACCGATCAGAAACAAACAGGCTTCCAGGAGTTCAGGAGTTTATGTATCTGCGTTCCCATTTCTGAAAGTAAAATCTGCAGGGGATGAAATGGAGCCATTATACTAGCAGGCGCAGTTTTTAGACTGCAGACTGATCCAGGAGTTTTAACATGAAGAGTATAATGTCACAAATATGGCCTTGGAGATATTTTTAGTTAGGTTTCTGTTATTTAGGCTCTCTAAAACTCCAGAAAAAAAAATTATTTAATCTAATGAAACTTTATATTCATCCAAGGAATATACATAATTTCATGCAGTAACAAGGATGCAGGTTTTGAGTCATCCAAAGAGGAAGAAAGTGACTTTCCTGCAAAACTTAAGGGGCAATGTCACAAGCTGAATAGTGCTCAGATCACAAGACCTGCATTTTGCTGTAGACCACCTTGTCTTGTACCTAGTCCCTGAGGTAGAATATATGTTTTGCAATAGTTTCAAAACAGACTTTCCAAGACAATAAATGTAATCCAGAAGGGCTGAATTACCCTCAGAAATGCCTGTCTCCTTCCAGCTGTTGCCAAGACAGCTTTGGGTGACTGGCAGGGTGACTCTAAGTCTCAAAGCTCCATCCCCTCAACACATTAGAATCTCAGTTTTCATTTTTAGCTTTCTTGGTTAACAGCAAATGCTTGAATATTGGACTCTTCTAAGGCTTGAAAGGGAGTGGGCATTTGAGAAACAGAATGCAAGCTTGCTGCATGGCTCTGTTTACCGAGATGCTGCACAGCACATTATTAATTTGCTTACAGAAGACTATGGTTTATAACCTGCCAGCCCTACATTGAGCATATGGGCAAATGCTTATTGCTAAACAAGCATTGACAGAATTGAAATATTCTCTGTAAACATAAACCAGAGCTAAAAGGGTGAGATAAACCCATATGGTGATTGGCTCGCTAGAGCTTGTGTGGTATTTATTTCTGAGCAGCACTCCTCCTTGCAGGGCATGTCTAATCTCCGCACCCTCTTGTTAGTCTCATTCATGCCACTATATAGTGTTTCCTAGTACTCTGAACAAGTTACTGTGCTAAAATACTATGCCTCAGCACACAAGAATCCATGGATAATGGTTTTTGTCTCTCCCTATTCTTTCTTAATAGTCAGAACAACAATGAGCCAACAGTGTTATCGTCCACCTGGTAGGTTGTAATTCTCTCTTGCTGTAAAGACCTGACAGGCATTTAAAAGCTGAGGGCGAGACGTTTTGCCTGAGCAATTGTATGGCCATAGAAGAGAAAAAGGGCTGGAGAAGGAGCAGTAACTGCACAGCACCAGCCTCAGCTTGGCACGGGCCACACAAGGGAATTGCTGCCAGCCTCTGCGGATAGGAGATGGACCCAAAGCCACCAGAGAGTCCTTCTGTAACTGTGCCAGCCAGACGAAATATTCTGAAGGGAATATGCTGTTCCTGTGGGTGCAGTATGGGGTATTTTTTCTTGTCATGTTGATCTACAGATGCTGAGCCAGAATGACTCTTGTATGCACAACATCTTATTTGAGAAGGTAATTAAGGTGATTGCTGCTGGGAGTGCTGCTAGAACAACTCGATCCTTCTCTTGGGAAAAACCCAACACTAAGCCCCTAGTTTAGTCCTGTCCTCTCTTACATTTTTCTGAGGTGAGCTTTGCTTGTATTTGCTGAATCTAATTTTACAGCACATTTTAAGGTGGCCATTACAGAAACATCCTTCTCCTTCACATTACTACAGAGGTTTATATATTGGCCTTCCAGAACCTTCTGCAATATGAGTGACGAACAACGAATAATACTAATAGCAATAAGAAAAATAAGCAAATGAAGCAATAAGAAAATACTAACAGGTCATGCATGCAGCTTTGCAAACTGTTCAGTAAGCATCACAGAAAAATCCTTGTCTAAAAGGGTATGAATCAATACATGCACCTCTGCCTGGCTTCACACAGCAGCACGCAGCTTCATTGATTTGAGCAGTTATTGATGATGTGCTTAAGCACACACTTTGCTAGGGATTGATTTGTTAAAATAAAATGGCACAAGAGAACACATGTAGCAGTAGTGATAGTGCCCTGGTTGTTGTGGGACGTTACTAGGAAGAGATTAAAGAAAAAACAAAGAGGGATCAGGTAATGGCAATCAGCATAATCTATCTAGTATCTGTAGGGAACAAGTACCATATTCTGGTGTGATATGAAAATAAAAAACATATAGAGATTAAGGGGCAGAAAAGGGAGAAAACCTTGCAGACCATCTCAAAGGGCTATTCCGGCCTTGTTGGCACTCAGAAAGAGTGCTAACCCAGCTAAAGCGGCATCCTTACCTCGTTGGGCTCCCACAGCCAGACGTCAAAGGTTGGTTTCCGAAGTGCTTCTATGGTCTCTTGGGACAGCATGTACTGCAAACAAAAAGGCAGTTGGTGTAAGCGAGGGTACCCTGCCCTGACACGGAACCTGCCGTCTGCACATCCCTGAGACTCCTCGGGTGCCATTCACACCAGGTTTAGTTGTATTTCCCAAGGACAGAGAAACTAATCTCTCCCTCTGCCTGCCTAACTCTTCTTTCCCTCCCCACCGGCTGCTCTTGGTCATGCAGGGATGCTCACGGTACCAACAGGCAGGTGCTGATCAGTGGAGATCCTTACAGAGCAGGAAGGTGGAGGGTTTAGGAGGAAAGGGAGGAGAGCAGAGGTGTTATAGACGGGGTTGCAGGTAAATCCAGAAAGGGGACATAAAGGGCACAGATCCATCTCTGGCTGCACTGGCTCTGCTTCCTGCAGAGCACCAGTGACATTCGGTGCAGCCAGTCATGGCTGAACAGTTTGAAGTGTCTATGCTTGTAGTGTTAAATTAGCTGGTGGGTATAATGTATTTACTTTCAGATGATTTATATTCTCATTTTGAGTATTTTTTCAAGAACGCCCACATTTTCAAATTGGTTGTCAGCCTGCAAGATTCAAGTGATTTTTTATCGTTACGCTCAGAGACTTAAAACAAAATCAAGCTCATCAGCTAGTTACAATTTGTATACAAAATGAAAAAAAGGAATGTGGAGGCTTAAAAGACATGGGGAGATGTGGACTCTACTGAATCTTTTTTTTTGAGACTCTATTGATCAGAGTTTTTCTGGGACACAAAAACCTTGTAGCTTTACTTGGCTCACCTACCTTGGCTGTGTCTAATTAGTTTGGGCTTACTGTACTGAGCAGGTGAATGAAATTTTCTGAGCCATCAAATTGTTGATAATTAATTCAAAAAAGAATAACACTGAAGATTAATTTTTCTTCTTGAGAAGGCAATAATTTTTGCATTTGCATATGTAATGTACATTTAATATTACATTCTGCAAGAAATCTGTCAATTAGCAGTTCACATTTGTTATTTGATAACAGTGCTGTAAAGACGTCTTCTTTGAGCATAGTCATCACTTCCTATCCTCACTGACATTGGACAAATCCAGCACCAACAAATTTCACAAATCTGTCAAACAGAACCCAAGCTCCTGAAACCAAAACTCGTATGAGCTTTGGTCTAGAGATGATACAGAAATACAGACTACCAGTTTACTCTGCAGTCAGTCAGCACAACTCTTTGTAGCACTTGTTGTTAATTCAAGATCCTAATACCATAGCAGTATATCAAAATTTGATCTGAAAATATATACTTATCAAGGGAAAAAATCTGTTTTAGAACCGGTATGTTTTGCGAAAACGTGTCAGGAGCACAAGCCTCTTGGGCAAAAGTTAATTAAAAGAAATTTAAGACTCACGATGTCTGCTTCAGAGACGTAGAGGTCACTTTTGCTAGGCAGAGCAGAATAAATAGCAAAACCTATAATTCACTGCTCTGTAAGGCCCGAAGACAAATATGCCAGGATGCATGTCTGTATCATACACCTGCATCACACGAGACCATGTGAACTTCGGAGTGGCCAAGCAGCTTTGATGTGTGCTATGATTTGCACATGGGTGAGCCAGTGTTTCATCAAGGTGTGAGCTGGGCACTGAGCAGACATAACCTGGTAGTTTTGAGTAATTCTTGTGGGAAAAGACCGCTGGTGCTAGGACCAAAGATTCTGTGTGCTTCATGGTTTCAGCATCATTCATCACTGTGGATTTGTACTTGTACTTGCCCAGTAGACATTTTTCTTCAAGCATTACTGTTTTTTCTAGCAAATACACTAACTCATTTTCACAGGGATAATGAATCATTCTGGAGAGAATCCAATGTCACATTTTCTCTTTGTTTCCCTAGGTGAAGCATCCCCATAAATTAGTTTTTAAATTAAAAATTAATCCATTAGGAGAAAACAGGCAGCGGCACTATTTTCAATTAGAGTACAACATTACAGGCTATTTTTGATTGTTTGCTACAAGCATGGAGAATAAACAAATATAACTAGACAAAAGAGTGTTAAATATTGATGAATGCAAAACATTCATTAACATTTCAAACACTAATGAACATTCGAGTATTAAAGACTACTGAGGATCCAACTTTAAGTCACTGCAGACAATGACAGCTTTTCCCATCAGCTTCCAGGGATTTTGAATCAGGCTCTGGGTTTAGAATAACTAGGAGGTAGATGGGTAGGGAGTCATGCACTGTAAACCAGCACTTGTCAGGATGGCAAGCACATGGTAGGATTCTGGGAAGAGCAAGCATTGCGTGGTACCTTTGGGTAGGATGGTACATCCCGCCGGGGAGTCGGCCTCTTGTTTTCATCTAAAAAGCTGTACTTGCAGGGACAGTTAGTCCTGAAATGAAATATTCAGCTCTTAACATTGTGGGAACAGAACCGCAGTGCCTCGAAAAACGCCAGAACTACTCCTGTCTCTTGGTAGGCGTCACTTGGAGAACTACCCTACGACCCAACCTCTTCCTTTCTAATGTGGCGTTGCTCAAATGCTTTAAAAGTGTGATCCTCTTCAGGATTTTCTCCCCTTGTGCAACACCCCTGTCACCCATTCTCCATCTATTTAAATTCAAGTGAGGAATGTCTGTCTTCAGACAAGTATCCATGGATACCCAATCATCTTTGTTTAAAACAAGTAACCTTCCTTTCAGCGAGCAGCTTGCTGTCTGTGGCAGGCATAGTTGTCCCAGGACAGCAGTGCCCTGCCTGAGGCCATACTGAGTATGGAGTCTGGCACCCCTGCTTATTTACTACTATAGGCACCCACTGAGCCTATGGCTTATTGCAGCCCAGCTCCAGGCCCTCTAAAAGCTTGGATAAGACCATCCATTTTGATGGCATGACCATCTTGTCTGCTGTCCTTCAGGCAGGACAACAGCAGTGAAGCACAGGCTTGGCAGACACGATCTGCTTGGCTCTCTGGTCCTGGAGGAAGGGAGCTGCTGCCAGCAATTACAGGCAATTAACACTTGCATGGTTCTTAACAGCAGTGCCCACTGTCAGTTATCTATTCTTCCTTCCTCTGCATGCAGAAGAGCCAAGCTGATGCTATCCCATCTGAGCAGAGGCCCATGATGGCAGGAGGTGCACACCTACCGCCTTTGCGGATCATCTACATTGCTGCCCTGTGGTGCAAGCACCTTGCAGCCATGGAGGACACAATAAAATGAAGAGCTCTGTGGTGTCACCCAGGGCAATTGTGATACTTTAATTTAACACGTTTCCCAGGTAGTCAGCCACATGTACTTTAGTCACTCTCATTATTGAGTTGATCTGCTTGCATTTTGCATTTACTCCTGTAGTCCTAACGCTTGGATTATCCTTTCTCATTTTTAAAGCCTCCTGCCAAATTAAGCTAAAAGAAACTCCCAAAAGAAGCCAACCAAAGTATTCCATTAACTTTATTTGTCCCTTTTGTAACAATTTTGCATATTCTGTATTGCACCTCTTTTTAGTGCTTCTCTGTTGGGAATTGATCTGGGTCTCTTCTTTCCTCCTCTTAACATCGATGTCTGCTATCACTTCTGATGGTGTTGCCTGAATCCTGTCAAAGTTATGTCATCTTATAGTTCATGGTGGTCAGCTGGCTTCAACCAGCTGCCTTTCCTGTCTTATTTAAGGAGATTCTCAGTTGGTGAAAAGCTGTCTTAATCATTTCTAAAGCTGTTTCCTCAAAACTCCACTGTGAGGGGTGTTAGTAGGATAAAAATAGTGAGATTGGGGCATTCCTCGCCCTAATTGGAACTGGCTGCCAGGGTTAGCTGAGGGTCAGCCAATTATTCCATAATTCCCAGCTGCAGTAAGACATCGAAGCCTTCATTCTACCGCACTGGGGAACACACCAGAGACAGGATGCATCAGACCTCTACAAATGTAAAACTGTATCTGCAAACGATCATGATTTTAAATGACACTGTAATGTCATTAGCATCTGCCAGTAGTAAGCACAAAAAGCAGACTAGCAAAAAAAGCAAACTGAGAGGATGCAAGTGGGGCTGCTTTGCTCTTCTGCAGATGAGATGCACAATTCATTGTGTGCCATGACTTTTATAAACCTAGCTGTTCATCCTTACTCTGTTTGGTAACGTAAAAGCAGATGTAAGAATATGTAAATATACAAGAATAAAGCTGTGTACACTGTGATATTGTTGAAGTAATATATGCACTCAAACATACTTATATATATTAAATAAATTTAGGTGTGATCTCTAATTGCAACTGTAACATGCTATCTAGCAAATGACGTTGCACAAGGGATGACTAGTCTAAACAGGAGCAAAACCATTTCCATTTGCCCTGGGATGCCTCTGTCCCCCTCCCAGCATGCACAAGCTCCCAGTATGTCCCCCTCCCATGTCATGCCAGTGGGAGAGAACTTGCTCAGCCGTTCTGGGGTGAAGCACCTCTAGACTGGGGTCACTGCAGGCTAATGGCATGGCTTCTGCAGAGCTATGGTCACTCGGGAATAGGGAACCACAGCTCATTCCTCAGGAACTTCTGATGAGGTCCCTCTTAAGGGCCAGTTACCAAGGAGCATCATCTCTTCACTCTTATATCAAAAAGAAGTGACTCATACCCACCCCCGGTTATATGCTGAACCTGGCCACATCTAGCTGGTGCTTTGAGACTCAAGCCCTTAGGGTACAGATAGTCATGGGCAGAATTTTGTGCAAGGAGGAGGAGCTTTTGTGCAGCTAGAACGAGCAAGACTCAGCTCAAGACAACCAAGAAGAGCTGTGACAGGTAGCTGCCACATTGATACAACACAGAGTGATGCTGAGCAGAGTGAGTTGGGCTCTTGCTTCAGCTAAAGCAGCTATGCAGTGCAAGCTCAGAGCAAGCTGCTTGGGTGTCTGTGCCCAGCACTACCTGCTGCTGAGCACTGCACCCATTTTGACCACAGATTTCCAGCATCACGCTCTATGCTGGTCTCTGACTTTTGGTGGCTGTCATATCCCACTCACAGCCCTCAGCAAATGGAGCCGGCTGCACTGGGCAGATGCAGCACTCCTCATTCCTATTTTTCTTGTTAACAGATTGTTGTTTATACTACAAAATACAGATTGTAAGGTGACAAGGTCAGGGACAGGAATGAGTCATGGCTGCTGATGGGACAATCTTGTACTTCCTGATGTGTGGTGGCAACTGGATGACCGTGAGGTTGCCATAACTTCTTTCTTAGATTTTAATTCCCTATCTGCCTGTGAGTCACTATGCTCGTAAAAGCAGCTCTCCCAGCTACCCACAACAGTCCAGGAAAGGTAAAGACACATACACAGGCACACACATTATTCACATCACGCCCAGCAAAAATCAGCATACACGTTTTTGCATTTGCTGCCAATCCGAGCTCTGATTTTTCCTAATGAGAATTCCTCACACATCTGAACAAGAAAAGATGCAAGGCTCAGGGCAAACTGCAATCCATCCTACTGGTATAAATCTGGAGCAGATCTGAGGTTGATAACGCTACTTTGCATTTATGCTGGTATGACAACTGAATTTGGTCTTAGACTTCATAGGAATGTATTAACACACCTGTCTCCTGACATATCTGGATAGCAAAATTTATAAAAGTGAGTGATTACAAAGCCTAATTATTTTACCAGATCTCCCATTGCCCTCAATAAGAAATAGCTTTGATTAAAGGTCAGAGAATTTGACCCCAAATGAAGAAAAAAGAGAGAGGCTGTCAAGATAGAGTAGCTGCATTTCCTGACAAAAATCCCCTGCACCCACACTTTGAGCAACGTGATATATTCCTCTTCAGCCACCTTCCCAGAACTATTCATAATCTCCCAGTGATGATTTGTTTGTCCTAGGGGGGCATTTCAGTGACACAGGGGGCAGGCTTTCCAGCTGAGACCGTGTACCATACAAAATGCAATTTTTTCTGCTGTTGTTTTAATTACAGTGAAACCACGCTTCACAATCACAGTGAGCCCTTGAATTAGAAAGTAAATTCCCAATTTCTTGTTGAATTTGAAATGGATGTTTTATAATAGCATGAGATCATAATTAGAGGATCTGTTGCATATTTATTTGATATTTTCCCAGAATATATTGGAGCTGATTTGAGCGTTAGCTGGTTCCCAACCAAACACTGCACTATGCAGAAGCTCTTTTCCCATTCCCTCTCTCTCAGTAAATCTGGATGAAGAATTCCCATTCTGTATTATGAAAAATAACTCTCTGTTGTGAGACCTTTTTCTCTATTCCCATGGCCCGAGCTATTTTATCTGATGAATGGCTATAATTCTTCAGATGTTAAGTTAAAGCCACTGTCCTTAATGGTTATTGGTTTCCTTGCTCCTTTACTTCTAAGCCCAGAAGGTAACTCAATTCTGCGGAAATGTTGCATTAGGGTTTGAAACTGGATGCTTATTTCTTTGGCTAGGTCCAAAGCAGAACCTACCTGCTGCTTCTTGCTGCCATTTCCTCCCTCATCTTTTTAATGTCGCTCTTGCATTTCTCAATCTCCACTACTTTCAAGCCTTCCACTGTCAACAAAGGAAAACAACAGGGTTGTTACCATGGCAAAAGTCGAAGGATCTTGTTTCACAATTGTGTAAAATTTCAAAGGCCTTTAACAGTGAGGTTATCCAGTGAGCCAGCAAGCTCTTACAGTCTGCCCCAGTTCTCATACATGCAGGTGCTGCCAAAGCGATATATCTTGCAAACCCATAGGAATTCTCTGCTGCCAATTTTAGATAATAGCTACAGTATTTTAATTCACAGAACGGCTATAACGTCTCAGCTTTTCCATGATTGTTAGCAGCAGTCAGCTGTTCTGGTGCCTTCACTTCTCTGCTGTAGAACACGAATCAAAGGAAATCCTGAGCAAAAAAACCCTCCCATGATGGGATGATAAACGCAGCTAGGCAAACACATCCCAGTAAGATAAAAGGTTTTAATTTGAAAGTTCACGCAGAGCATTAAGGAGCTCTGAGAGGCATTACTAGATACAGCAAAACCAAAGTGAGAATGCAAGAGAGAGAGGGAAATGTTGAAAAGTTTTGCTCTAATAATTGATTTCATTTTTTTTTTTAGGTATTGAAGATCTGTCGCTTCTTTTTGTCAATCAATTTTTTAATCAGAGGTTGTTTCTGCATGCGGCACAAAAATCCTATATTCCCCTTCTGTATGTAATTATGAGAGCCACAAGGCAAAAAGTTTGATTGTCTGTTTATGCAGCAATGCACTTCATTCCACATAGCCGTGAGAAACTAACGAAGCGCAAGTATGAGAATATTCTCCCCTTTCTTTCCCTCTCCTTGAACTATCAGCATGCTCAAGGACATAATACAGCACCATTTATTAAGTACATGTCATTCATATGCAATCATTTCACAGCTCATTTGTTTACTGAACTCATTGTTTGCACGGACAAGCTGTGGTTCAGGGAACTCTAGGGAATGTGCAATCATACAATCAATGTTCAGTCACTTTCTTAGAAAATAATAGTCAAAATCACACTTATCTGGAGGGTAGCATGTAAGTGATAAAAAACTGCCTTGGAAGGGCACAACTCTGTAGATAAGCAGAGACTTCAGTTTTGTTTTCTTTCTGCTAGCAACAACAAAGACTGCTGCTGAAACTGGGAAAAGGGAAAACCAGATAGGTATATGAACAAAGTCC